AAACACGAGAAAAAAAAAAAAAAAAAAAAAAAAAAAAAAAAAAAAAAAAAAATCAAGGTGTGTCATTCATTCATTTGAAAGCAAATGTTTTTCATCAAGTTTGGTAGATGGGTGGGTGGGTGAGTGTTAACACAAATAACATGACAAGAATCTAATCAAAAACAAACAAACAAACGGAAATCCAAATTATCTTGGATAACGAGCACAACATTCGAAAAACAATTCAGATTTCGAATTTTGAATTCACACACAAAATATTTCGAACAAAACAAAACGAACTAAAACGTATCGTACACAATCGAATCCAAACACCAAATGAAAACTAAACATTCAAACATTCACAATACATATGTACAAAAAGATATAGAAATTGGCAAAATAGAATAGAAAATTTTCGAATTCGTTTTTACATTCATTCAAAGTAGTAAAATGGGCTCCAAAATGTGCAATATAACAGCAGTCACACATATATAAAACACACAAATACAAATAAATAGATAGCACCCAAAAAAATTCACATAATATATATCATCATATTGTAGAAATGTAGAAATGTGAATGAATGAATGGAATGGAATGAAAATCTTCAACACCGAATCACAGACATACACAAACACACATACAAGAGACATTTATTTGTTCAATAGATGTGGAAAAAAGAAAATAGACAAGAAAGTAAAGAAACATAGATGCCCACCAAATAAAAAAAACATAGAGAAATGAATTTGAATTGAAATGAATAGAAATGTAATACAATGAATGAAATGAAATGAATGAATGAAAAAAAGTAGGCGATAACAATTCAAAGTGGGAATGGATTTGTAATCGAAACGCAAACGCAAAACGAATAAAGTTTTTTCGTTTCGTTTTGTTTTGTTCTGTATTTCATTTCACATTTCATTCATTCATTCATTCGTACATAGAGACATTGTACAAATCATCATCATCATCATATATAACTTCAAAGAGAATATCTGTGTGTGTTTGTGTCTCTCCCACTTTTTTCCAGTTGTTGTTCATGTTCAATGTTCATCTCTCTCTTTCTCTCTCTCTCTCTCTCTCTCTCTTGCTATCTCTCTCTCTCCCTAGCATTCGAACAGTAGAAAAAAAATAGTATTTTTTTTTTCTCATTCTGGGTTGCCACCAAATATCTTTTTGTTTTGGTTGTTTTTTTTGTCTGTTTTCAATTCAATTCAATTCAATTCAGTCATTCAATTTTTTATCTGGCAAAATTCAATTCCAAATACATATATAATGTGATTACATAGTGTGATATGGAATGTGTAATTTTTTAAAAAAATGCCATTATATATGGTTGGTTGTTATCTAATGGAATCCATAAAGATGGTGATGGATCCATCTGATGATGATGATGGGGTATTATGTTTCAATCCTTTCATTTTTTTTTGGAAAGTTTATTGTTGTTGTTGTTGTTTTCAATTAATTCCAATTCAATATTGTTTTCTTTTCGTTTCCGAACAGAAATATCTATGCATATTTTCAGTTACTTTTACGTTGTTGTTGTTGTTGTTGTTGGCTCCCTTCAAACTGAAAATTTCTATTCCTATCTTTTTCTTTCTTCTGACAAAATCATTTTTATTATTCCCCCCATTACCACCACCAACAACAACAAAATCATAATAATTATATTCCTATGATCAGGAATTATATATGAGAAAAACGACTGCCGCTACCACTATCACATGAAGAAAAAAACTTCAAAAGTTTTCCATTGTTACCCAAACGTCTAAACAAAAACAAAAATCCATTGAACCGAATCACAGTATATGGATGAAATTTATGAACATCATCATCATATGAATATTCAATGTGTGATAGAAATAAAGATGTGCAAATACCCAAAAAAAAGAAAAGACATTGAAGAAATCAAGAAATTGGAAAAGAAAAAGAAGAAATACAACTTTAAATACGGATGTTATCTCTGCTGCAGTTAGTTTAGTTTAGTTTAGTTAGTAGGATGGTCGATAAACAAGTAGAAATAGTGGCCAAGAAATATTTTTGAATTCGAAAATAAATGTAGGTGTGGAAATAGGCATGGTTTTTGGTTTGTTCATTTCATTTCAATTCAATTCAATTCGAATTGATCATGTCATTAGTTTTCTTGGTTGAGACATTTTTTTGTTGCCATCTTTCTTCAAATTGCGCATCCACAACAAAACCCAAAGACATCCATTCCATTCTTTGTGAAGATGGAGATCCTCCTTTTATTTTCGGAAACGGAATTCCTTTTCGGTTTGATTTTCAATTCAAAGATTTTGCGCAAAAAAACTGAAATGAATTTTGTTTTTTCCCCTTGATTTTTTCGTTTGTTTGATGGAAAAACTTTTCAAGTGAAAAGAATCCTAATCACAAACACACACAGACAAACATTACCGAAAATAATGGCATTCATTTATTCAATGTTTGTGATGCTTTTATTAATGCCAGACATACACACAGAGTGAGTGAGATAAATAAACAAAGTAAAGAATCGATCAATCGAAAATGAAGAATTTTCTCCTTTCAACAGAGACATTCACATTCAGGAATTTTTTTAATTTTATTTTATTTAGGCCAAAATTCTAGAATTTTCTTCTTTCATGGGGCCTGCTCATCATCATCAACGATGACATTATAGAGCCAAGAATGTGGTGCCCAAAAATACCAATTACATAGCAAAGAATCCAATAACACAGTCATTCAGTCAGAATCGTATTTACGAATTGCGAATTGTCACAGAAAATAAAAATAAAAGAATTTGGATGAATTTGATGGTGGTGATGGAGAAATGTCATCGACATGCGCTGAATGCTTGCAGGTCGATGGCGCCCAACAAACAAACACATGCGCACTAATAATTTAGATTTTACAATGAAAATGTATTTTTGGGCGCCATTCAAATCCGGGTTCCGTCTGTCTTTCCATTCTATTTCCATTTCCAATGCATTTCCAATGCAGTGTGTGCATGTCATTCAAATGTAATTTTTTCATTCGAATCAAGTTGAACTGGAATTTTTTTTTTGTTTGGTAATAAAATGCGCATGAACTTTGTATCTACATTCATTCATTCATTGATTGTAGGACAACAAGTTCTGATCATTACATTTCAAGTTTGTTTGATTTTTTTTTCTTCCATTTCTTCTTTGTATTTCTGGTGTCGATTCGTAGAACTTGAATGGCAACTCGAAGAAGAAGAATTTTCCTGCTCTGTGCCCTCTGTGTGTGTAATGCTCATGTTCAATGATGATGATGATGATTTTCGGAGTTATCATTTGGCAAAAAAAACTACGCAATAAAAGAAAGAAATTCGACCAATCGTAAATTCAGAATTGAAATGGTAATGATAATGATTCTCATTGGTATATATGAATGAATTGAATTGAAATAGGAAACAAAAAAACACCCAGAGAGATACAGGCCACCACCCAAAATAGTATTTGGCTTGGCGTCGACAATAAGACTATGATGAAATGATGATGATGATGATGATTTGTCTTAATGTTAAATGTGAATGTGAAAAATAAGAGCAGAGACAAAATATAAGGGGGATAGGCTTTCTTTAACTCTATATATGCAAGACAGAAGAAAAAAAATGAAGAAGAAGTGGGCGCCATTCAAAGACATTCATTCGAAGAAAAATATTTTTGGCTAAAGGGTTATTTCAACAAAGATAATCATATTGATTTTTTTTCTATTGACGAATCCGGTCATTTACATTTTTTTTTGTTCAATTAAATCAATCGATCAATCGATTAATCGAATCAAATCGATAAACAACAACAAATATAAATCATTTTTTAGTTGAAAAATTTCATTAACATTTAGAAAAGAAATGCTACCCGAAAAAAAAAATCCAAAATAAGTTTAGCTATAGCAATAATAATAAATTTCTCTGGAGGTTTCAATTTAACCCAATATGCAAAAATGTTTCAATCTGAAACAAGTTTTTTCCATTTTGATTTAATGTCAATTTCTTTGCTGAAAACATTCTAATTAATCATCATGTTCATCGCATATGTGTATGTTTAATTAACAAACGTCATTTCTTAAATTCAACTAAAATCATACATAAATCTTTGAATAAATGATGTAGGAATAATCGATGATGATAATGATTGAAA